TGTGTTGTTCCATATATAGTGTGTGTTGTTCCATATATAGTGTGTGTTGTTCCATATATAATGTGTGTGTTGTTCCATATATAATGTGTGTTGTTCCATATATAGTGTGTGTTGTTCCATATATAGTGTGTGTTGTTCCATATATAGTGTGTTGTTCCATATAAAGTGGTGTTGTTCCATATATAGTGTGTGTTGTTCCATATATAGTGTGTGTTGTTCCATATATAGTGTGTGTTGTTCCATATATAGTGTGTGTTGTTCCATATATAATGTGTGTTGTTCCATATATAATGTGTGTTGTTCCATACATAATGTGTGTTGTTCCATACATGTGTTGAAAGCTTCTACAGATCCATGAATTGTTGAACTGATTGTTGGGTGATCTTAACTGCATTTTGTTCTACATTTCATCCCTGATGTTCTGTTTGAATGACAATAAAGCAAATCTGAATCTGAACCCCTCCTTAGTATCATCCTTCAGGGTAAATAAGGCCCTTATRTTCTTTCAGTTTTGTTCTGTCTTGACATTTTTTAGTATTTAGTTTAAAGTCATTGAGAATATTTGTCCTCTAAAATCATTTTTAGTTGATGTGTAGAATATAAATGATGCTTGTGGTAAAAAATGCTCCCATTGTTTTATTTTAATTGCTGTGTGTTTTATCATTTTGTTTTTCCACACCTTATTCAGTCTGAACTGTTATCAAGCCCTTCTGCTTTAAGCTGATAATAGGCAATAAATTTACACTCAAGTCTAAAGTTGTGTGTCTTTAAATGAAAATGAATAACAGTCAGGTTAATTGAAAGATTAATGGATCCAAAGTGTAACCCTTGTGAGTTTACATAATGCATATTTATACAGCAAACACCTTTAATTTCAGCGAGCAGAGCATTATATAGCACAGAGGGGGAGAAATGTGCATCTCAGCTCCCTCCTACCAGAACACTGAGCTTTATCAGCTGCGAGGCTTCAGCTCCAGCAGCATATCTGCTCAACACAGAGAGCAGCAGGAAAATTAGCTGCTTTTAAACACAGAATTTATGCATTTTTAAATGGATGTAGTTTGGAGGAGGCTGACTCAGCACTTTCTTTGTATTTTCCTGAAAGCACCGCGCTTCCTCTTCAGAAAAAAAAACATCTGATTTCACTGAGTGGGTTTAAGCTGCAGATAAAAAAACAACAACTTTCATTTCTTTTTAAAACATCTTCAGACATGAGTCTGTTTGGTTCTCCTGGAGAACCCAGAGGTTCTGTTTCCTCTGCTGTGAACCAGAATCTGTCTGGACTCCAGCCAGGAGGGTTCCCTGGGGCTGAGTGGTCTGGGTTCATGTGTTCAGTGGTCTGGGTTCACGTGTTCAGTGGTCTGGGTTCACGTGTTGGGTGGTCTGGGTTCACGTGTTGGGTGGTCTGGGTTCACGTGTTGGGTGGTCTGGGTTCACGTGTTGGGTGGTCTGGGTTCACGTGTTCAGTGGTCTGAACATGTGTTCGGTGGTCTGGGTTCACGTGTTCAGTGGTCTGAACATGTGTTCGGTGGTCTGGGTTCACGTGTTCAGTGGTCTGAACATGTGTTCAGTGGTCTGGGTTCACGTGTTGGGTGGTCTGGGTTCACGTGTTCAGTGGTCTGAACATGTGTTCAGTGGTCTGGGTTCACGTGTTGGGTGGTCTGGGTTCACGTGTTCAGTGGTCTGAACATGTGTTCAGTGGTCTGGGTTCACGTGTTGGGTGGTCTGGGTTCACGTGTTCAGTGGTCTGAACATGTGTTCAGTGGTCTGGGTTCACGTGTTGGGTGGTCTGGGTTCACGTGTTCAGTGGTCTGAACATGTGTTCAGTGGTCTGGGTTCACGTGTTGGGTGGTCTGGGTTCACGTGTTCAGTGGTCTGAACATGTGTTCAGTGGTCTGGGTTCACGTGTTGGTGGTCTGGGTTCACATG